CCGGTCCAAAATCGGTTAACCGGTCCCTTTGTGCGTCGCAAAGAACATATGTGTTTACCCAACTGACATGAGTCACATGTTAACTCATGAACGGATCAAAGATCTAGTCTTAGCTGCTTCAGAATAGGCAGAGAACGGTGCCTAGCCGACAGCGAACCTCCCTAGTACTTGAATCCTAAAGATGTGTAGTCGGAGATCACAACATGGACAAGCGATAAAAGCTTGTGCCAATCAACTAGTTTGTTCTCAAATCCTGAAAAACAAAATGCGCAAGAAAAAAGGTGATGGAACAATTAAGGTTTCAGGGTGATGGAACAATTAAGGTTTCAGGTAATCTGGCTAATAGACATTAGACTATTTGGGAAAGTAGGAACATAAAATAAAGAGGATTGTTTAGGTTTGATAGGTTGCTAGTAGATCTTATGCCCATTATTTGACATGAAGATCCCATTAGCAAGGGAACTGGATTTAGGGATATGTTAGTCACAAGATTGGATAGAAGGTCTTTGACATGAAGATCCTTAGACTTCAAAAGAGAAGGATTTCTGAATTAAGCGTCGTGAACAAAGTTAAGTAGGTGATTTGCCTTCTGAGCTTTCCAGACTTGGCAATTTCAGAAAGCATATAGCTTTATGAACCAAGCCAAGCCTTCTGAACTTACTTTCTGAAGTGCCAGACTTAAGGGGCGTTTACCGCTTACCAGCAAAATTCAACACCATCCCTTACTTACTAGGTAAGACTTTAATCCACCAAAACGGAATTGTATGCAACAATTTACCCGGTATGTGCTAACCGTGGTAAGAATCGTCGCCATCACTTACCGGGTAAGATTCTCGGTCCTTGCCTTCGCTCTTACCGTTTAAGATTCTTGGTCCTTGCCATATTCATCCCGAAAGGTAATGTGACTTGGTAAGCGTTTGGTAAACGGCCCCTTAGTCGTTTTAGAAAGCATATAGCTTTCTGAACTAGACTCAGACTTGGCCTTTTCAATTTTCATAAAACATGTAGCATTTTGAACTATACTCAAACTTAGCAATTTCAGAAAGAAAGCAGCTTTCAGAACATTTCGTCTGATTAACACTTGGCGCATACCAATTTTAGTCTGGGATGCTGCCCCGATCCCCTTGCATCAGGGGCGCTGCCCCTTGAACCCCACCATATAGCGACACAGGCGACTCTAGGTTCTAGCTAGGTTATATTCCTTCTTGTTCATCAATCAAAAATCAAGACAAGCCGGGCACTACGGTGAGACGTGAAAACACCTGATCCCATTCCGACCTCAAAGATGTACCGCTCATCCAAGAATATAATTGATCGGTGCACTCCGCACCTCCTAACTTGTATTATAGCTTAACCATCCATCCTTTCATCCTTGTGAATCCAATTACACAAAACGGTCTGATGATTCATTAAAATCAACAACACATTCTTGAATATAATATCTTCTCACTACAACAACGATCATAGAAGCTCTCCTCTCTACAGAAGAAACATGTCTGATTGTTATGCCTACGAGTACAAGTGAAACGAGTACTACACACATGGTATTAGCAAATCCGCAAAACTGCAATATCCAATATACATCAACACAATAAATGTTAGCTGCTGCTTGTGACACTATCAATTCACAGTAGCTGTTACTTGAAGATCTCTATGTAGATTCAATTAAACATAACTGAATTGTTGAGTACCATTCCTTGGCTCCTGTATTTAATCATCTGTACATTTAATCTCCCATGGACTGATGACTGGACCAACTTTATCAACATCTCTCTAGATTGTGTCACTACTCATATCATAATATTGATTATCAAGTTGGGGTTACTAAGCAGTTGGTACCGATTTGTTATGTAATGCCCCTACAGACATGATCCACTCTTGAATCCTCATTCAATGTAGAATTTTTTTACCAGCGTGTATCTCATATCATTATTACATAACAGTACATTGATATCCATAACTTCATAAGGACTCTATTTTAGGTTTCCTCTGATTTTTGCATGAATCTGTTGTCAGAAAGAGTAAAGCGTTTGACCGGGTCAACCCTGAATAGAAGGGAAAGAATTCTGTATTAAAAAAGTATTCAGTTTTTAATATTATACACTCTATACCTTTCCAGCACTTCTTTCTTTCTTGTTTGGGGATGCAAAACCTGATGTGAAACTTTGAACATTTTTATATTGGAAGTGCTTTAAGGTACATCATCGTTCATCAATTAACTGAAATTCTACACATTAACAGTTCTGTTCACCAAATCAATTTGACTTCTTTTCAATTAAGTGAAGTAGACAATAGTTACTTGCCTCTTTCACAAAAAATTTTGCTCCACCATTGTTGAGTAGTGTCTTCCCTTAGAAGGATCATGAAACTATACACTCATCTAATGTTTACAATAACAAATGCACCCCATACTCAATATTCATCATCCTAAAAGGATTACAGAAGAACAGGACATGCCAAAGACATAGCATCGAAATTCCTCTAGAGAGAGAGAGAGAGAGAGAGAACAACCAACTTAACAACTGTAAATGATATGTAATGTCATTCTTCACACAACTTATATCCACATATTAACTAAAAGGCTACTAAACAGAGAACAGATTTCCCCATAGTTTCAAAGATGTATAGGTACTAAAGGAAGATAAATATTACAAGGACAAATTCATAGTAATAAAGACTGCAAGAAATTAGTGATATGAAGTTGCAAAATTCCACAACTAATGTGAAAATATATGTCTTCATAAGTGGAATATAGACCCTGCAGAAAACCAAATGGACGAGCTTGAGCATGCCATCAAGCCTGATAAGAGTAGTACCAATGATGGGGTCATTCACTACCTGATCAGAAATCACAACAATAATTGGATTCTGATTAAAGTAGATCATGAAGGCTTGATTGATCACAAGTAATGCTTCCTCTTCTTTATCATTTTTGCTTGTTTGTAGAAATAACTTTTATTCTCTTAGTTCTTCTCAATTAAAGATATGTATGTATAATGTGTCAATCTACCTACCCAGATTTTTGTCACTGCTCATATCATAAGTTAGATTAACAAGTTGTTGTTACCAAGCAGTTAATACCATGCTCCCAACAGAAATAATTCATTCCTTAGTCCTCATCCAATTTAAAAAAAAAATACTTTCACACCCTGTGTCTCATCATCATATAACAGTAAGCGTGTGTCTATATCTAGTACACTGATATCTATAACTTCTTTACTTCGTTTTGGTTTCACAGCTGGTTTTACATGGTTTTACATGAATCCCTTGCAAGAAAGGCAAATAAGTTTGCTGGGCTGACAATGCACTACTATAGCGAACTTAATCTAAATGATTAGGTAACTGAGTTGTTAAGTGACTGCTACCACAAGTGTTCCCTTAGCTTTTCCTAGTACAAAGTTTAATGCAAATTGTCAGCAAAACTTACAGATATGCCTTATTCAACATTTTTCTTTTGGGCAATTGGGTCCATTGACTGCAAACATTTATGCAAATTGTGTATATTTATAGCTATCCTACCTACTTCAGAGAAACCAACTACAATCTTGTCCCAATTTGTTTGGTCATATAATTTTTTTTTATCATTCAACAATTTTCTTTTGAATGATTGGGTTTGCAACCATTGAATGATTGGGTCCATTGGTTGCAAATGTTTATGCAAATTGTGTATATTGCTATCCTACCTACTTCAAAGAAACCAACTGCAATCTTTGGCCCAATTTTTTGATCATATAATTTTTTTCATTTATTGGGAGTGGGAAGAAAATTGACGTCTAATGAGAATAACATTCTACAATTAGCAATTCATTTATTTTTTAAACCAGGCCTTACTATCTACCGTTAGGAATTGGAATTCGGAGATGATTTGTGGATTAGATAATCTCGTTGGATCGTGAAAGTTCACTTTCCAAATACAATAATTCGTCCCTTATTGCCTTGGGTATCACAAATTTCGAATTGGGATTAATCCAAGAGAAACTACAATCTGAAGGCTGTGAGATCGAGTCCTTACATACACCCAGATTCTCATTTATGTATTTATATGAGATATCGACGGTTACGGGCGGTTAAAACCATTAAAGAATAAGATTTGGGAGCAGTTACATGTATTATATCAGAAGCAATGTCCAGAATTCTGGTTCCACCGTCTAGAACTCTGACTCTATGGTCCAGAGCTCTGATTGCTCTATCTTTGACCCAAAGTTAGTCAAATTTCTACCAATTTAGGGAACAATTACAAGAAGGTTTTCATTCTTCTAAAATTCATCTGGATCATCCCGAAACTAAAATTCTCTAAGTTTACCCTCCTTAAAATCCATAAACCTAGACCCCTGTCAGGGCTCTACCCCTTCGACCCCGCTAGGGGACCCTAGAATCCCGCAAGGGGACGCAGCCACCTTGACCCCGTCTTAAGGCGATCTAAGGTGATAAAAGACAACATTTGTGAGTGTGCACTCAACACCTCCTATATGATTTATGTTTGCCTTATCACCTTATCTATCTCAAATAAATCACAATCACACTAAAATAATTGATGACACTAAAATCACCAACATCTACCATGTGATTTACTAACCCTTTATTTTGGAATGTTTAGAGGAGTAAACTGGTTGGCAATTCATTATGAGTTATGAGTAGGGTAGGGGTATGCACAGAAAATCTTTTTTGTAACATAAAAGAATAAAAATAAATAAAACCGTGTTATAAGCATATCAAACTCTGAGGGGGTGGTGAATCTAGAGTATTTAATGAAAAGAAAATGATATAAGCAAAAGGAACCTTCCCACACATCAGTTCTCGAACACCATAACCAATATATCTTGTCAAAAAATGAAATCAAAATAGGATGGAGTATAACAGACTATTACAAGGAAATCAAGGTTACCAAGTCAATAGAACACGTTAAACTTCATATGATACCTCAATCAACACACATATTGCAAAAAATAAGTAACATTTGATTCGATCATTCAAAATGTGAAGCATTTTAAATCACGTACCTTATTGAACCATGGATCGTGAATGATGTCGACACCTTTCTTATGAAGAATGGAGGGTCTATGGCATTCGATTGTCGTGAATGATCTTGTAATTTTGTACTGTACGACTCTGATCAATGTCGACGATAGCCTAGCTTGGCGAGAGAAATTCGACATTGTTGCTTAGAAATCAGAAAAGATGGTGAGGTTTGCAGAGCTTTACACTCCTATTATGCCCTAGACGATGAAGAAGGGGGGCAAAAACGTACACTTGAACTTGCTATTTTTGGAAGTTAAATCTGTTAAGATGCCAACCATTTTCGCATGGGCAACTCATATAAACCACCCTGTGGTTATCTTAAATTCTGAAATCACCCCCCAAGTCTTGGTTATTACAATTGACCCCTCTAGGATTACACAAAAATCAAGCTTTTACCGAAGCTTTATCGGGTTTGAGTACAAAACATTAGATTGAGACGTATGCTGAATCAAGTTTGAGTTTATAAGATTGAGACGTATGCTGAGAAAGGTGAGAGTATTGCAAAGGAAGGATATATCGTTGGTTAAGGAATATAAAGAGGTAATAGATTCTATTTTTTGGTAACTAGTGATATTCGAGCCAGGTTTCATGCATCGCTATTAATGATTAAGTGGTCAGAATGATTAAGATGTTTTTACGGTATAGTGTAAAATGAAATATAATTGTTCATGATGAAATTAAAGCGTTGAATGATTAAAGGAGACCCAAGATACAAAATCATTCAGAAAGTTTTAAAACCATGAAGAGACGGACTTTTTTTTACCAAACAAGATTCACCTCTTAACGATTCAGAGGTTGTCTCTTAATGGAACTATTAAGAGCTAAAGAAACAACCCCTAAGCTTATGGGGTCTTGAAAGGCAAACTCTACAACGGCTTGAGGGGACTTCAACTCGTAACCTATATGGAGCAAATATAAGGTCTTCCGAATTAAGCTACTTATTAGGGTTAAGAATAAAAATAGGAAGGAGACAAAAGAAGGAGGAGGAGGAAGGTATTGAAAGGAATCAAGTGAAGAAAAGGTGACATGTAGCGATTATCAATTGGCGTATTTTATTGATCAATGTGATAATCGTTTAATTGTTCCTGATTTTGGAGTGGAGGGTAGGTGTTATTCGTGAATTTGAAAAGAATGAATGCATTCTATTTTCTGGTTGTTGATTAGTGTTTAGTTTTTGTATTTGTTATGGCTTCTCCTAAAGTGTGTTTTGAGAAAGTCGATTGAGATTTTTGTTTTATTCATTCTCATAAAATATTCTCGAGGTACCATCGCCTTAACCAAAAAAAAAATTAAGGATTTTGACTGGAATTTTTATTTAGCTTTTCGAGCCATAGTTCTTATGGATATGTTGAACTATTCTAGCTAACAAGTCAAGCTAATGGAATTTTTGAGCTATTCAATCTAAGTTTAAGTCGTTATTGGTTCAACCTCAAATCTGCATCAAGATTTCAAGCTATCAATCAAATTCAATATTAGAGGCCGTTTACCAAATGCTTACTCGGGTAAGTGTTTACCAAATTATATTACCTTATCAGATGATATGACAATGACCAAGAATCTTACTCTGTAAGAATGAGGCAAAGACCAAGTGTCTTACATGGTAAGTGAAGGCAATAACTCTTACCACAGTCAACTCTTACCGACTAATTTGTTGCATAGAAGGCCGTTTTTGTTGACTAAAATCTTACCTAGTAAATAAATGATAGTGTTGAATTTCACCGCTAAGTGCTTACCGAGTAAGTGTTTGGTAAACGGCCCCTTAGTTTGACATCATCGAGTCAAGCTAGAGGTTTATTTGGTTGGCTTAAAGACCTAATAAGGAAGACAAATGTATATATAAGCTTTTTCAACATCCATATCCAATTAGCAAATCCAACATTTGCATACATCGGATATTCAAGTTGTATCACCGGAGGAGTCACATAACTCTCTGGAAAACTCGAACGTCGTTGCAGGCAATTTGGGTCGCATCCCAAGTTCTGTGAGGCATTGTTTGTGCGTGCAGGGTGCGTAGGCGACTTTCCATGCAACATGGGTAGCGTGCCATGTTGCATGGACGTGAATAAAGCTTTAGGGTTTTCCTCACTTACTTCATCTACTTCAACTCTCTCAAATTAGGGAGATTTTGAGAAGCTTTTGGACAACTTTGGAAGTTGTTTTCTAGGCATTCATGGGCTTTGATTGAAGTTTTGGGTTGTGATCCTTAAGTTCTTCACCAAGAGAAGCACAAGAATTGCTTGGTTTTAGGTTTCAAGCTAAAACCAAATAATGTGAATTCTAGTTTCTTTGATAAAACTATATATATATATATATATATATAGAGAGAGAGAGAGAGAGAGAGAGAGAGAGATGAGCGATCAAATACAAACCGCTCTCTTTTGTACAAAACCGGCAAACCAATCACATCCATCCATTTTCATGATCAAAAACCATTATTAAAAAGAGTTATTTTAATAAAGTAAAAAATAGAAAAAATAAAATTATTATTATTTTATCCAAGAAAGGACAAAACTATAAAAAAATTTAAAAGTTTCAACCTATTGAAATATCTTTTCTCCGTATTCAATCCTCTTTCCTCGCATTAATCCCGTTCAATCGCATTAATCGCATTTAAAGTTTCAACCTATTGAAATCTCAAGATAAAACGATACGATTTTATACAACCTACAACTATCTCAATCCAAATTATTTGTATAAATTAGTAAAGGAGATAACAAAATCATGGATATCAACATTAATGAAACAAAATCAGAGCTTTAAAATCTACATATATGATTTTATTATTAGAATGGTTTTAACAAAAAAAATGTTGGGAAAATCTGGGAAATCATATATTCAACAAAAAATTTCTTTATTTTATGAGTAAATATTAGAATTAAATAAATCTCACATTAAAAATAGAGTTATCTAGAAACTATAAAAAGGATAGATATTTTAATAAAGATTGAAACATAAAATATTCTTTAATCAACAATAAAGAATGAAACATTTTGAAAACTGAATAATATGATTCCATTAGTGAAATTGGTTTCATGAATGAAATTTTTTGAAAACTGAATAACATGATTTTATTAGTGAAATTAGTTTCATGGTTCCTAATCAAAATGAAATTTGATTTATTAGTGAAACTAGAAATGGTTCAGTCAATGAAACATTTTTTGAAAACTAAATAACATGATTTCATTAGTGAAATTGGTTTCATGAATGAAACATTTTGAAAACTGGATAAAATGATTTCATTAGTGAAATTGGTTTCATGTTTCCTAACCAAGATAAAATTGGTTTCTAACCAAAATGAAATTGGGTTTATTAATGAAACTAAATATGATTCAATCAATGAAACATTTTGAAAATTGAATAATATGATTTATTAATGAAATTAGTTTCATGGTTCCTAACCAAAATGAAATTAGTTTCATGAATGAAACATTTTGAAAACCAGATAACATGATTTCATTAATGAAATTTGTAAGAAAATCAATTTATTCATGAATTTTACAAATGGAACAAAATAATATACTCAAAATTTGGAAAATATCACAACTACATTATTAATAAATCTGGAAAGATTTGTAGATTGAAAAAAAATATACCGATTTCTTTTGTTATTATGAAAATGAAATAAATAAATATCTAAGAAAAAGATGATTATAAATAAACTCTGAAATTGATGGATTATTTTTATTTAATAAAATAATACAAAATATTAATGTTGGTAAGTATCTATTAAAAACAAGTTGATTGATCTTTTCCTAAAAATCCTCTAATCTATATAATCTTATAGATTTAGACACAATTAAAATATTACCAAAATTATTCATTATAAAGTCAAAGAACAATCATACCTTTATGCATTAAAAATAAAGGAAAAAAAATGAAATTATGCTATTGATTGATGCCAATTTGTATGAAATTGATGGTCTCCAAAGTAACCCCCCCCCCACACACATATATGTATGTATGTATGTATGTATGTATGTATGTATGTATGTATGTATGTATGTATGTATGTATGTATGTATGTATGTTTGTATGTATGTATGTATGTACGTATGTATGTGTGTCAAAATGTCTTCATTGGAGTCTTTACATGCTTATCTCACGATTTCTTTCAATAAACTTGTCGTCATGTAACACTCTTGCGCTATTTGGCGTATTTAAATGTTTGAAACATTTGAAGGATGCATAGTTTGAGTGGTGAAAGATACATGGGTTTAAAAATGCATATTATTGGATTTAGATTTATTTTCATGAGATGGAGATTTTATTAAACAAAATCGTGTTTATTGAAATGTTGGGAATTTGCCAAACTTTGAATGTTTATTATGAATGCTAGATGCTTATATTTGCATAATCTCTAAGAGCATATCTGTTATCAGATACATTTGCTCCTTCATGTTAGAAATTGCCAAGTTTGAGATTATGATGTTTTAACCTGTATGCATGAGGATTGATTAATTGTCTTGCTAAGTACTGTAAGGACGTTCAAATCTTTTTGGAGGCTCTGCTACATCCAAAAATTTTGAGTACATTGTATAAATGAGATATCAGAGAATATATGTTAAGAACAAAAATGGGTTAAACCTAAAACGATTAACAATCTAAAACTAAACCTAAACCTAAACCATCAATAATTTGAACATAAAACCAAACAATTACTGATTTGAACCTAAATAATTTCGGTTATAATTTTACACAAATCGATAAAAGACCATGTACACATGTAAATTTAGGCCCCAAAATTTTGGGAGCCCTGTTCAAAATCTCACATTTAACATGCTAAGGGATAACTCTTGCTAAGTAGGAGGTTTTAAGATTCCTATCTTGATTTCTTGTGAGTATACACTAAAGGTCGAAGGGAAATCCTTGAGGTAGCATTCAACTAGAGAATGGGCATACAATAAGATTTGATATTCTTGAGGTGAAACTCAATTGAGTATGCACTAATGGTACTGTAGGCTTGACGTGACATTCGAGAAAGTGTGCACTTTATGTGTTATTAAACTTCTTGATCTCATTAGACTTTAAACCTAAATTTTTTTTATCAACGTGTATATCAAGTCTTATAATGAGAATGACTTTTTGTGAAGCATAATCCATTTGTTTTGGAAAATAACAGTTTTTGGAGTATTTTAGT